GTTTCATACATTGTCATCTCAGTCCTCAGATTATTCAGCCCTTCTACAGTAGATCATTCTGCTCACCTGTCTTCACTCCTAATTATCACAGCTGTCTCCACTCTCCACTTAGCCTCTGACTACTTGTACTGGTTCTCATGCTCTCCACCTTCGTCCGTTCATTGTTTGTTTCTGTTTGTTTTCTGTCATGGCCCTCTTGTTCATGTATTAGTTTTTGTTATTTGATCCAAGCCATAGACTTTGTTTGCTGCCACGCAAGCTTTTTATTTTTCTTTAATAAATACTTTTCATTATTTGGAAACCTGCCTGCATTTGGGTCCATCCTTCCATTAAGCTCTGACAGAATGAACGGACCATCCAAGGACCCAGCAGGCAGGGTCATCGCCACCTTCACCGCTCCAAGTGTGGAGGAGTCGGTTCCAGTTTTGCCACCGGAGGAACTTGAGGTGTCGCACCCGTTGATCAGCGGGTCTTTGTTGATGCTCGGGTGGTCCCTCTCTCCTGCTGCCCACCTTCAGCTTTATCAGCAGATCGTCAACGTCCTGTTGGAGTGCACCGATCTGCTGCAGCTGCCCGGCCACCTTCTTCTCCTCATCCACATTCGTGGGGTTTTTTCCAAACTGGTTGGTTCCAGCTCTACCGCCTCACCTGCCTCCAACACCTCCATGTCAGCCACACCATCTACTGCTGAGTCAGAGCGTTCCTGCTCCACGGGGCCCTCTGCCCCCTGCGCCCCCTGGAAGGGGGCCACATCCTCTGCTCCCTCAGCCTCATCTCGCCGCCATCGGAGGAGGAAATCGGCTGCGGCCTCAGGGCAGGTTTCAACTGCCCCACCTCCCTGCTTCATCAGCTTATCGGGGTTTGTTAGAACCCCTAGAGGGGAGGAAGCTGTAGCATCTGAGAGACCCAGCTCTGTTGCTACAGCGTCTTTTCCTGCATCATCTTCATCATCACCATCATTGCCTTCTTTTGGTCCTGCATCATCTTCATCATCATCGCCTTCGTCTGGTCCTGCATCTTCTTTGTCATCGCCTTCGTCTGGTCCTGCATCATCTTTGTCATCGCCTTCGTCTGGTCCTGCATCATCTTCGTCATCACCATCATCGCCGTCGTCTGGTCCTGCATCATCTTCGTCATCACCAACATTGCCTTCGTCTGGTCTTGCATCATCTTTGTCATCACCAACATTGCCTTCGTCTGGTCTTGCATCATCTTTGTTATCACCAACATTGCCTT